CTGTATTGAATTCTAGACATTCACGATGCACAGTACCGCGAATCTAATTAATATTGTTATTTTTTTTTTAGTATTCTTTAATAATTGACTTCTTAAAAGCGTCGAAGAGGAAAACGCAAACTTTTATTAAAACCGTATACGTTCAAAAAACCGGTTAGAGCAAACAGCTTCGCCCATTATACTTATACAGTATGTCCCATTTTAAAATACTAATCGATTTGTCTCCAAAAATACTAATCCAATCAAAAAGTTGTTTATTAGAGACTTTTAGAGTACAAAGGGGGACGTTAAAAAAAATATGGTCCAAAATTCAAAATGGCCAACTTACGGTCAAAGACATGTTTTTTTTTTACATGGAAACCGTGTAATTTTTGTTAACCAAACAAATGTTCTTGTCAAAACTAACAACTTTTGTAGGAACAAATTTTCGGTAAAACCCATAATTTGTAAGTCTTTAGCTATTTTTAGTTTTGTTATTTTATTTTGATGCATATGGTAACCGTGGTATGTGTGATAACCGTGGTATATCTGAGAGAAGAGTTCAAGCGTGTTTGGACAACAACGGCGGCATATTCGTACATCACAAATAGCACAATCTTAAAATGTATTTTTATCTTTGTTTTTGTCTTTGCCTTTGACATTATCATTAGTACTACTATTACATTATCATTATCTTGATTGTTAACGTTATCCTCTTTTCTGTGTATCACAAAGATAAAAAACATGGTTACCACACATACCAAGGTTACCATATGCATCAAAATAAAAAAACAAAACTAAAGAGACTAAATTTACAAATTATGGCTTTTATCATTTAAATTATGGGTTTTACCGAAAAAATTGTTTCTACAAAAGTTGTTAGTTTTGATAAGAACAATTTTATTAGGTTAACAAAAAATACATGGTTTCCATTTATAAAAAAACATATCGTTGACCGTAAGTCAGCCATTTTATGTTTTAGACCATATTTAAAATGGGACACCCTGTGTATAAATATACTAAAAAAATGGACCCTGGACAAATTAACATTTTGTTTAACAGTTTTTATAACGATCGACCAGCCCCCACAGAGTGCGACCCGACGGTTTTTTAAATTATATTCTTTCGAAAATAGTTGACCGAAATGTTTTTCACAGTTTACTACATTTTAAAAACATTCTAATACTCTAATGGATCCCTAACACTCTTATACAAAATCTTTCACTGTCATAGTATGCCCGACAACCCTTCTCTGGCCTTAAGTAAGAATCAAGAGCCATAAGAGTGGCTTCTCTTTTTCATGCTTTCATTGTCTGTGAATCACTCGTGTCGTCATAATACATACTTATCGTACTATACTTGTATGGATTTAAACAAAGGCAAAAACCACAAATATTTACTCGAAAACCTATTCTGATGGCATCAAACACACACTATATCACACAAGCCTGTTCGATATAACCCAACTATGAGCTGAAAAAAAAAGGAAATTTACAATTAGCATACTGTCGCCTTTGAAATGATTTTTATCGATATTGAACATTTGTACCGGCTTTATACATATTTACATTTTGAAGCGTTTTTCTTAGTGATTTCATAATGGAAGCCTCTTTGTTTTTTGGAAGGGTTTATGGGGAAGCCTTTGCCATTTCCGATTCCGTTGTTTTATTTCACACCACTTATTGAATTCAAAAGTACAAATTGTTTTTCCCATTTCAGTTTATAGACCTTTTTATGTAGAATAAGTCATATTATATATTCAATACGATTTTATTCCGGGTTCACATAACTAATAACATTTTGCAACTTTATGATTTATGTAAAAAAAAAAAAAACAGTTCAATAGTATAAGGTTATAACTTCAACGTTTCTTTTTTTCATGGTAACATTTTACAGTGTGGTACAAATTGTAATTTTATTTCATATCATTATTTAGTTAGTTGCATGTCGTGGATTGTTAAGTAAAAATGAAAAACATATTTATTAGTCATCTTTAAATAAAAAATATCCATTTGAAAATTACAAATACCAAAAAAAGCACTCCAGCATTACTACACATTGTACCAGCAGTTAACAGCAGCCAATAAAAACACACTTTTTGTATAAAACTCAATATAATGTATAATAATATAAATAATAACCTAACCTGAAATATATAATAATTGTTACAACGCAGCTTTTAAAGATGTTTGTACCGAATAATTAATATCTAATCAAATCAAAACTTGATTAAGTAACACGGTTGATAATATATCTTTGCAGTTTAAAACTATCACGATGGATTATGTGTTATACTGACAACAAACAATAATAAAAATCGTACTTAAGCATTCATTTATGGTAAACAATGATTTAATTTAATTAATTTTATACATTTTTTTCTCCTTTGTCGTTTTCACATCACTACATCTTTCAATGTTTTTGTAGATAGCAAATTTTTGTTGATAAGCTGATTTTTAGCTACTTCTTTATATGCAGCTAAAAGACATTAATTTATTGGTCAAGCACAATATTATTATTTTTTTTTATTATTAATTTAACCGAGGCATAGCTCAGCTAATATAAAACCAAACTAAGCATAATAGTTGTACAATGATACTTTGATATAAAATTAGTTTATGATATAATAAGTGTTTTATTTTATTTAACCGGCATTGATTGAGAGTGAGATGACTAATAAAATTATTGGTCCAGAAAAATAATAAATATTTTGTTTTTAATTATTAAATTAATAATTAAACAACTATATTTTTTTTTCGAATGTTTAGGTAAAGAAACATCAAAGGACTATTTTTGGTTGTACAGCATACTTTTCTTAGAGTTTTCTCCCTTTTGGAAATTGAAAGTATATTGCGGCAGATGAAAATATATATATTGAATAAAACCTACACGAATTAAACGTTGCCTGTCCAAGATTTTATATATGCCCGGCTCAAAGGATGTGTTTTCTTTTAATATTGAATTCGATTTTTCTAGACTGTCCGTTCGCGGAACGCTTAAACCGTTTTTACAATCTACAAACATATTATATTACTTTTAAGTAAGAATTTAGTTGCATTCCATAAAGTTATTATTTTTTTTTTTTACCACACTCGCAGTAAAAAACATGGTCAAACCGAATCGATAATAAAATATATTTTGGTCGATACAGGGTGTATCAAACAGCATGACGGGGTTTTAAACGGCTGTGGGTTGTCAAGTATTGGACCTACAGCGCTCTGGTAGGACTTGAACGAAAGAGGGGGTTGTCAAATTTCGAATGACTGCCACTAGATGTCTCTGACCCACAGCCGTTTGAAACCCCATCATTGTTTTTGATACACCCTGTATAAAAGCATCATTACCGTCGACCCTAAAGATCATCACATCATATGTGAGATTTAACCGGCGTGTATGTATGTCTAGCTGTTATATGGCTGGCTGTAGTTTTTCTGATTTATAGCGTAGCGCGTTTGCCGAATGAAAATTGCAGGTTTGGCGTTGATTTATACAGTGTACACTCCCAAAGGAGTATAGATATTAAGACGTATGGCAATGAAATAAAACAAACGTTATAAAAGGATGAAAAAACGGTCCCAAGTGTGCGAGACGTGTGTATAATAAAATGTTGCCTTACACCACGCCAGTAAGTAAGCACATTAAAATGTCTTTTATCGGATTTATTTGTTTCACGGTAACCTTTGTAAACGTTGTGTTGTGTTTATTTATGTAATTTTCCACAGTTTTTTTTTGTCATCTGTTAAACACACATTCATATGATAATTTATTGTCAGTGCGTTTAAATGTTTCCGACAAAGACAACAACATCTACCTATAAATAGTTTGACGCGTTTCAACAGCTCTGCGTTGCTACACTGGAACTAATGGTACACATCATGTTGGTAACACTGTAACTGTTATCATTGGAGGTGATAGATAACGATTTTGTAAACAAACCAGGAGACTCGATACTTTAAATCGTTGGAAATCTATGTATTGAAATTAGGTGTCTTAAACCCATACCTTATTGTCTTTTGCGTTAACGCAGGATTATTTTGTTAACTCAAAATACAACTTTATGTACATATTCCGTGAGATAGTAGCGATATCAATGCGCGTTACTGTGATAAATCTAAATCCTATTAAAACACAACACAACCTGGACTTAATAAATCTCACAATAACACATACGATCGAGGTGGGTGTAGTCGGAAGCTGCCCTGAGGCGAGGGTCGTGATAAGTTGAGCGCACTGAGGGTAAACAGGCAACAGGAAAGTTCAGTGGACACCTATATTGCACTGTATAATACTATAACAAAGGGCAAAAGGATATAATATAACTTTTGACACGTCGAAATTGCCAATAAATAATACCTTTAGGCCTTTAAATCATACGTTTCCAGACCACGTTTAAAGCATTTGTTTTTTCTTAAAATACTTACATATTATCAAAACAGCCACTTTAGCGAATCATTAATAAGCAGCCGGCATAATCAATACTTAACTATTATCTATAGTTGCAGTTTTAATTAATACAACTATTGGTACACTTAGGTAGTTTTCGGTGATTGCTCTTGTGCGCAGGGGTATGATCTATCATTCCTTATAATACATACTGAAATACATCAAAGTATTTTCTATACATATATTTCGGATTTCTTTGACTCGATACAGGTATAGTAGTTGATGGTTGAAAACCTACTAAAAGTATTGCTTGTTTTTTCATTACCAAAAATGTTATCTGATTCTGTCGACAGAAAAGTATATTGAACAATTCATTACTGGAGATTGTACTGGCTGACGTTTTTTGTTCAATAGAGTTACTTCTATTTGCTGTAGCCATGAGGATACAATGGTTTTTTTTTCTTTCTTTTGTTTAAGATAAAGCAAAGTAAATGTACTTTCCGAACAGACCCGTGTGGTAAAGCACTATTACTAAGTTGTTATGGTCGGTTCGGCCTCAATGTATTGACAGTGTGAAAAAATGTTCCACCCAAAAATAGTGTTAAACGATACTTATTGATTTTTTAATTTTCTTTCAGGCGAAATAGTCATCCGGATATCCGTTGTGGTGATGGCGATCAATGTGTACGTCGAGGGCTATATCGACAGCCTATGCCCAAATTGCAATCTCTACCAGGATTCGGCTGAGGTGAGTGCGAATTATAGTTATGTTGACGTTGGGGGGCATACTTAGGCATATATATATATATAGATAGATTTTATACACTTGGCAGCGATTCAAGTACACGGGCATGTTGTAAAGGCGTGGCCCACCTGAAAGTAATTCCCCGGAGGAAAGTAACATCAAACGAAGACAACTCGCTAGTGACGCGTGCAGAATCATTATAATACTATTCTTTTTAAGTTCAAATATTTTCCATCCGCCTGGACGGTTAGGTTTTGTTTCAGAATATTATTATTATTCTCTCTAAAACGACCTTATATATATATATTATAAATCCGTGGGAAACGTGCAATTCTTCAACGCAGGTGTAATAGATTAAAATACTATATAAGTATAATATGTGTGAGTGGTTATGTATTTCCCACACAAGAATATAGCCTATTGTTCGGTTTGGGTTTGCAGGTAGATTCGCTTCTGGCGAATTATTCACATAATAATGATGTGAAATCAATATTGTTCGGTTAAAAAATTTTAAAAAAAGTGCCTTTCTGTACAAAAAAAAACCAAACGGACCAATAGCGAAAAAAAGTTATTGCTGATTTTTTAGAACTTTTAGATTCCCACACGTTATTCTAAACGCCACTTCAAAGGAATCGACCTCAACGTATTGTACCTTAGACTTTAGACTTACATAGGAGAAGATGGTTGGAAGAAGGTGTCGGTGAAAAAGTGTACAAGTCAAATTGAATTGCTTTTAGAAATACAAAATAAAAAAAACACTCACAAATAATTCTTGTTCTAATGTAACCATATTGTAACATTTACTGTAACCATATTTTTTTTTAACTTAAATAATAATCTTACAATTTTGTCCGTTTCGAAATTCATCATTAAGTAAAAAAAAATGTTTGACTCGATAAAATTTTATCTTGACAGAAAGTCTGCTGCGGAAATTAAAAGATAAAATCAATATTATTATCCGATTGAACCGACTTCCTTCATAATTGAAAACGAATTATAGGAAATTCGCTTAAGTTTCAATTTAAATTTGATATAACTATATTGTGTATAAATATATATTAATAATAAACGCCTATGCTTCCGAGTTCAATCTCAACTTCTGGTTTTCGGAGAAAATCATTTTCTTTTCGATTTCAAGATTAATTATACTGCGCCGTATACTTTACTTATTGTTAGCTGTTAACAGCAGCTGTTTACCAAACTTATGAATAGCAAATGGACAACTTTGTAGGTATTGTATATTATATAATATTCACCGTGTGATTAAGGTTGTAGTTTGAAAGAGCTGAAAAATAATTAAATTTTTAGTAGTAATATTAAATTTTCAGATAATAGCTTAACAAAAATGAATTAACTTCTTTATTTAATATAATATGAAAAAAACCAAATTGTATAGGTAGTTTAATATTGCCTTTTACTCTTTCAGCTTTGATGTGCAGCTGAATAGACAAGCTTTTGTGGTTTAAAAGAAATCCTAATTCATAAAATAAAATTACTTAATAACCTAACCTAACCTTTTTTTTTTATCGTGTAACCTAACCTAACCTAACCTAACCTTATATTTCTTTAACAATAATGTGACAATTTTTCTATTGATTTTTCGCACTTATCGTCAAGTCTTGTTTTAATTACTTCAATTTTTCCTAAAACTTATACTATAGTATGTCCAATTTTGTGTTGTCAAAGAAAAAAGATGAGCGAGGTATAGCTGTATCTTTTCTGTAACCAATACTACGGTAGATAGCTTTCTGTACTTTCTGTTCGAAATAAAAAATAAATTTCCTTAAGTTTTTTTTCTCCTTCAGCACTTTACCCCGCGTACAATTGGAAAAATAAGATATAAGATGACCTAATATAAGATATACTTTCCAAAGTCTTTTGTTGGATTTTTTTAACACTGTAATTATGTCAAAAATGGTAAACAAAAAAAAAATAATAATTACAAAAAGGTCGTCAGAATTCTTTATGTCAATTTTATATTATTTTTTCGTGAAACTTTCTGCAGCTTTGCAAGATTTCCATATTTTTTTTTTTGCTTGTCAGTGATTTGAATTTTTCTAGCTTAATAAAACCTAACATAACCTACCTAATAAAACCTAACCTAACAATATATAGAAAAGTGTCCTGTCGTTTGCTTATTTTGTGTCATTCTAACATTAAACATCAGGCAACGCCTTTTTTTTTAAAGCAATTTAATTTCTGAAAACTTAAACCAAACCAAAACCTTCCTCAATTCACAATCAGAGTAACCACTTGGAGAAAAACATTTTTTTTTTTGAGAAATTATTGTTTTAGAACTGAGCATCTCTGAATTGCCTGATATGTTATCGCCAATATATTATTACTAAAAAATCTTTGAAAATATATTATAATAGTAAATTATTTTGTGTAATAATTCCATTTCTAGAATGTGGTCACACTGACTTGAGGAGGATTTCAGTTAACGAAGAAGTGTCCCATCTGGTTTTTAACTAATTTCCCGTTTTCTGATTTTAAATATAACTCAAATTTCCCAAAGAGAATTACCTATCCTTTTCTTTTCAATAGTATTTACATGTCTAAATTGTACGTTATAGACCCAATGACTAGAATGCATTTAGGTGATTTGGGCGCACCTAACATAATGTAATAAGACTATTCGATCAAAAGATATACAGGTAAACGGAAATTGCGAAGAAAGGAACTGGCCATTTTACGGCACATAAAATTGACTTAAATTGTATCACATCCCCGGACGAATAGCGGCAGTAGTAATAATAATAATAGTAAGGATACGGACCGTTTCAAAAGACTTGCAGAATTGTATTCAGTTAACTGGTAATAAGCAAAACGGAAACGTGTTTAAAATACGGAAATGTGCAATTGCGATTTTGTGTGAAAAAAAAAAATAAAAAAAGCCATACGAAAAATAAACAACTTTATGAAATAACTCAATAAGGAAAACTACGACAAGGTACAATAAACTAGAGCTTACAAGATTGTGATTAAGTAGACACGGTGAGGCAGGTAGAGGAAGCTGGATAAAGTTATGAGACATGTCATTAGGCCATCCGAAGGTCAAGTTCTGGCACTATTAAGTTTACTAATCGCTCGTTTTTACTTAAGTTTTTATATTTGGCGTTGTGTACTTGCTCGTTTGAACTACTATTAATGATAGCATTTTATATTTACGGTTCATCACAGTATTATCATTTATTGTGTGAACTTTAGACGCTGTTATCGTTTTACTAAAACACAACAATATTATACTATCAAAATCAAACGATAATTTAATTAGTATTATATTACATAAGTAATATACTATTAACACTTATATTACCTAGGTATACTTTTAATTTATCCTTTAGTAATTTTAAATCATTTATTACTGGTAATATGATGTTTGAATGTTATATCTCATTAATTACATAGCTACCGAAAAACATAAAAATAACATGCGATATTACTTTTATTTTGTATATTATCCAACGGATTTGCAAAACACAATCTAACGTGGTTATGCATTTTAAAATGTACTTTATTATGTAAAAAATCAGAATAGTTTTGTTATATTAGTAAGAACATAATTAAGAGCCTTTTCAATAACAATAAAACATTTTTTTTATTCATGTAAAAAAAAAGGATTTTACTGGAGAATAGGTGTATATTTTTTGTTTACAGTATTTACTTAAACTTTCTATAAAAAAAACCTAAAACGGTATTCTTTATCTGATTACACAGATAATAAATTCAATAGTTAAAAAAATCATGCCAAGAGACCAATTAACTATATAATAGTATGTTTAGATAGAATTTATATCCAATAAATGTATTTTAAATAAATAATGTACGTTTTATAATAAAATATTTTGTTAATTGCACTTATACGCAATATTATAACAATAATTTAACTTGTAGATGGTTATGAAATAACTTACTTTGACGACATCATACTTTTTTTCTTCCACACATTTGATCAGATGGTCGCTGACAGGCATGTTTTTTGGTTTAGAAAGCTGGCAAAGTTTGTGTAGTTTGTCTTCCCTCAAAGTGATTACAAACTTAACTGTTTGAATAGGATTTATATTATGCTAAATTGTATATTATAATAAAAGAGGCGCGTTTAATGAGTGCAGATATCAACAGAATTATTTGAATAATTGCATTATATAACAACATGACCTTATTGGTGGGTCTTCAGTAAAATGAAATATTACTATCTAATAAGTAACAACAACATTATAGGTAATATAATAATAATATGCGATATTGGTTTTTTGCTTTCAAAATTAATGTTAATTAGTACTTATCACTTATTGCGATGGTCTAGCACAACGTATATTAAATTTTAATTTTAATTTATAGGTAAGCATATTAGAAATATTTTAAAAACGTTGGCAATGACAATCAATTTTTGGTACAATGAAAAATGTCATTGGTTCCGATTTATGTGTAAACTGCAAATAACTTCAATATTACAAAATGTTTTAATAATAAAAAGAGCTTTGGTTTTTCTAAGAATATGTTTTTCTAAATTCACGAATCCTTTAAGAACACTCGAAATCGAAGACAAAATAAAAAAGAATAACAGTTCAAGTATATTTTTCCAAGTATAAAATGGTATACATTATCTCAGCCTGCATTGAATAATTGTATGTATTGTTGTACTCACATGTGCATTTGTATAATTTAATTGCCTCTAAAACGGTGTTGTGTTCTTTTAGTTTTCATATTATTATTTTTACAGAGGACTTCACAGCGAATCCAATATGCCAGTTACATGGATTTTTTTTAAATTGTATTTCATTCGAACCTTTACAATCATTACCATCATTAATTATTACAGACGGCCAACAGTTCCAAAAAAAAAAAATAATAATAATACTTAAATGAATTCCTTTCCCCGTCCCAATCAACAAAAACATTATTACCCTTTCGATGGTTTTAATGACCTGAAAAATATAAATAAAAAAAGGCAAAAATTATTGGTTTTTTATAATAATTGTACAGTTTCTTTTGGACTT